TCAGATATAGCTTGACAAAAACTTCTTTAGTTGTAGTTAACGTTACTTTTTTGATAACTCTATAGACTTCTACCGGAGAGCCAAACCCACAAGGAGTTGTCTTTTTCAACTCTTTTTTATATGACCCACATGCAATCTGAAACTCTTAAACCCAGACGTTATATAGTGAAGTTTTGTTGTATATAAACATACTAACTATATAATTTTCATAGGTCAGTATATGTAAAAAAATTGGTGCAGAAGATTATCAAAAAGAGTTGCACCAAATCTTTTGTATTTAACAATTAGGTGTAGACAATAAATTTTTAGTAAAAAGCACAAGTCAAAATAATGGTTTTTATATTATTAATAGTAAGATTAATATATGCACATGTTCTATGGATATGAATAAAACATCTTGCAAACATCAAGGTGCAGTTACAATGAAATTTCATATTTATATTGATTCATTAGGTCAAGTTACAAAGAACAGCTTTTTTTATGCCTCATTACATATGAGATCCATTTCACAAGAACATTTATAAGAAACAAAATCATCTAATAGGCAATTATTAAAATCTTCAAATCATAAACAAAGGTTTGTATAGTATTTTAATATGCAGTAATTTTATTATAAAATATAAAATTAATTTTATATTATTTTTTTAAAATATATTAAATCAAACAGACAAAAGAGTTAATAATGTGATGCTTGATACTTTTCTTGAAGAAATTCAAAATGATTATCAAAATAAAGATCCACAATTTCATGCTGCATTTAATAAATTTACTGAACATTACCATACATCAAAAGCAATTTTCTTTGTCTAACTATTCTTCTTTCTTCATAACAACAATTGTGCTGATCTAATCCATATTAAAAGTAGTACTATGATTCATGTTCAAGTTGAATTTACCAAGTGGTATAATTCTGACAGAACTGGTGGTGCAAGACGAAAGTTCAATACTAATATAAAAAGAAATAAAAAAAACCTTGATCCTCAAGTTATTCCAAGTCGGAAGAAAAGAAACCTTAACAAAAAAAAACACAAATTGAGTAAAAACATTTTAAATAATCAATTAAATTAATTTATTTAAAATTTTATTATTTTCAATATTTTCCTTCAACAATTTACTATTTCGATAATTTAAGAATAAATAGTTTTAATATTAATTAAATTCAATTTGGCTTCGAACATGTAATAGCTTCAATTGTTAAAATATTAAAAATATATATTTTTTGCGATAGCAATAAGTAAACTTAATAGTAGTTAACTGCATTAAAAATTTCTTATAATTTACTATGTTTCGTAAAGGTAAATTCTTTAAAAAATTGATTAATAAAAATTTTACAGTAACTAGAATTTTTTTTTCTATGTACGAATATTTGATCAAACCCATGTGATACCTTGTGCTACCTGTTGCTAAACTTGTTTGTGTTAACTTTACTAGATCTATATAGGCTAATCAGAGATATTGAACTCTAGACAGAGGCACTAAATTTATTCTGAACCCCATAATTAATCATTTTTAATTGGATCTGTTATACGAACAATTGTTCAATAAATTTAAATAGATACCCGAAATAGTTAAATAAATATCCTAAATAATTCAAGGATATAGTAGACCATGCATGATAATGCATCAAACCCATTAGTCCTAGCCAAAACCCATTAGTCTAAATCCTATAGAGTCATATCATTTGACATCGTTGTTATGTATATATGCATTTTAGATAAAAACTTTATATTGATAATACTTAGAGTACGTACTTTTTATATCAAGACATTTTTTTTTATAAAACAAAAAAATGAATATAGTTTTAAATTTACTACTAAGTTATGGGTTCTATTGAAAGCTAAGTATTCTGAATTTATATATATATATTTTTTGGTCATATTAAAATGTACATTAAATTTCATGATTCCATCTAACTTAATTTGTTAATACTTTTCGTTTAAATATATAATTGTGATCGTGTTTCTGACAAAAATTACAACAGAATAAACAATTATAATCATTGCAGACAGAAAAATTATAGTTAGAAAAGACCGAAATGTGCAATTAGGAAACAGTATGCAAAAAATATATGGATTGGCTCAAAACATGCCAACAAATAAATATATGATGGTATTTGAGTTCCATTATAAAAAAAAAATACTAAGGTAAGTCGATTATAATCATGTCATGCATAGAAGGTAGTGAATCGATTATAATTACATTGTGCAAAGTATTCTTATTAATTTCTTCATAAGGTCTTTTTCATTTTGATTCACAGCCAATTGCCTCCAAAGTTTCACCATCTTCAACAAAAACAGCTATCTGATTCCTTTCGAATACAACCTTTTTATCTTTAAAAAATTCATCATTCATAAATTTGATTCTAATTGATTCTGATGGTTTATCATATGCAACCTTTTCTATGCTATTTTTACGTTTAAAGATGGGTTGTCTAATAGGCTGATTTATTTTTTTTTTTGATAGAAGTCTACGCTTGGGCAGCATTTTATTTGTTGAATAAAAGGTATTGACAGATTAATTAAAAAAATACTTGGGCAGATGTTGTTTAGAGACGCAATCAATTTTATAAGAATCTAAATATCTAGATATTCATATTATTTATAAGAATATTGGCATTAATAGAATAAATTTGCAATATCATATATACTATTGATTTATAGTGAATATCGTGATTTGTATAGATAAAACTATTGTAATGAATTAATAATAAATATAAATATTCTTTTTCTTATAAAATAATCATTTGCCAATTCTTCTGATCTATGTTTCAGTTAGTTCAAACTTATGTGATTTCAAAAAGTTTCATAACTTGAATAAAAATCCTGAAATCATATAAGTCTAAACACTCTAGTCTATGACAAAGTATTTTTTTTTTAGAGGTTCTTTATTGAGAATACTGTATTTCGTGGGCCAAACCACCCCCTCTCTGTAAAATAATTACCAAATAATATGGATATTTTGATGATGTATGCGGATGCATAATATTTGTTATATCTACTACATACCAGCGATTGGTTTTCTATACTGTAGTGATAAAACAAGTTATTAATTTAATATGCATCATGGAAATATCTGCATGATCCGACAGGGGAGGGGTGGTTTGGCCTGCGAAATACGGTAAATTATCAGGATGACAAGGAAACACTATAAGAAAAAGTAGACTATTAAATTTATAAAAAATAGTAATCATGATCGCATATAATTATAAATTTGACAGTATGTTTTCTCTTTGAAAGAATCATTGAGAATATATGACAATGATGCAGATTAGATTATTGAGATATCAAAATTAGTTAGCAGCTTAATTCATAGTAACTAGTAATTATCTGATGAATATATATGTGTATGTACATGCATACCGTGCTAGATTCATATTTAGAGTATTTAATTAATAATGAATCACTTATTCATTATTATTATGATGAGTACTTAAACTTAAAAAGAAAATTAAACAAAAAGTGCCACTATGTAAATTTCCTTTCTGAATTTTAGGATGAGCAATAACTGCAATCTACTTTTTATCTTAACTGTAACTAGTCATATGCTTAAAATTCATTGAGACGATTCTATAATAGAGTGATCAAAAAAATAAATGATCTAATATTAATTTGAAAATATGATAATAATAAATTTTAATATTCCAAATTTAGGATTGTTCAGAATATTTTACACAGCATATTGATAAGTTTGTTTATTGACAATCAAGAATTTTTTTATAATTTATCATAGCGCATTTTTTAAATAATTGTTGAAGTACGATAATTATTAGTAAAATAAATGAATATCTTCTATTACTGATCTATGATGTCGAAAACGAATCATAAAATAAATAGCTTCTATTACTGATCTATGATATCAAAAATGAATCATAAAATAAATAAAGATATTATATACAATAAGAAGTTTATTAAATTCATGTTTATTTCTATCTATATAATAATGTCTTTTGCATTAAAAACAAATTTTATTTTGAAGCAATTTTTATTTTTTTGAAAACATCTAAATTTTTCTCTTAATGTCGAATCACTCAGATTATTTATTGACTGAAAATAAATTAAAAATTAAAACTTTAGAGTTATGCGATTATTCTCGAATCCCTATAATTACTTATCAAGAAAAAAAAAATATATTATACAATGATCATTTGATTATTTTATAGAAACTGAGAGATTTTATCCACATACTTCTGAACTTCGCTATACTTTGCCTCCCAAAAAATACCCAATTCCTAATAATTATTCTGTAAAAACCACTTGGAAACATGGTGGAAATCAATGAACAGTCCAATGCAAAATTGAATACAAAAATGGAAAACCCAAATTTCGAATTTTATATAGTGCCTTTTTAGAATCTGAAATTAAATTGTATATATCATCTAGTCGAGCTGCAAGAGATTATGAAATAGCTATAAATAGGAATTCAAATAAAAAAAGTTCTTTATCTGGGCCTTTATTATTTGGATTACAACTTCAAAAACTTAGAACAATTCGAGAATTTCGAGTTAGACAACATATGATCAAACCTGCAGAGCAATATTCTCAAAAAACTCTTATAAGGCATGCAAAAGATATTGCGACAACACTTAAGCAAGAATTCATTCAAAATATCGAGCTTAAGTACAATCTACAAGACTCTATTTTATTCAAATCACTCGAATATACCGTTAATAATCAAAATTATTATTTTACTTTTGAAAATGAAAAGCTTATACAAAAAAAAGCAGAGATTTTAAATACAATTAAAGTAATAGATTCAAGTTATATTTCACAGGATGCATATAGAGACTTGGCTGCAATAAATTTTCACTTATCACGTGAATATATTATTGCAAATGAACAAAATAAATTAACTCAAGAAATGAATGTTAAGATTCAAATTAAACTTATAGATATGAATAAGACAATAAATAATACCAATTCAGATGACGATAGTGATAGTAATGATAAACCTAATGAAATTAGTAGAATTGAATTTATAGGTAGACAACATGATCTTAAAGGAATACTTCAATACATAATTCCTTATTTAGTGCAAGAAAATGTTTTGACAGCTTATAATCCAACAATTCATCTACGAATTTCTGGAGATGGTCGAAATGTAGGTCGAAAAGTAAACCATGTCATGATCACATTCATGATTCTTAATGATACAAAAAATTATCACATGCCTAATTATCATCATACCATCGCCTTATATTCTGAAGTTGAAAAATACAAGTCACTTAAATTTATTTTAAATCCATTACTTAATGATTTTTGAGATCTTAAAAATAATGGATTAAACATTGAAGGAGTTCTTTGGCATTTTGAATTATATTTCAGCAGTGACTGGAAATTTCTCGCTATTTGTCTTGGATTAAATTCTGCCAATTCGAATTATTTTTGTACTTGGTGTTACTGTTCAAAACGTGAAATCAGTAACACTACACGAGATTGGCAGATTACTAAATCTATGGATAATTTAAAAAATAATTATCTAAATACTCCAGGTTATATCAAAGCACTGTTATTTGATATGATTCCATTATCTAACTATGTATTTGATAAACTACATGTTTTATTAAGAATTGAGAATTGACTTTAGACATTAGTATTATCAGAACTTAAGAAGAAAAATTTATTTAATGATATTAGTCGAAAAATAATTATAAACGAAATGGAATGACTTAAAGTTAAGTTTCATTTTTGGGAAGAATCAGACACTTGGAAATATACATCATTAATAGGTGATGATAAAATTAAAGTATTACAATACTTTAATTTAGAAACTCTTTTTTGTTTAAGTCAAGCTAAACTAATTTGGTTCTTGTAGGATAATTTTATTAAACTATATGAGACAATATGTTCTCAAGATAGCGATCCTTTATATATAAAATATCTAGCACTCGAATGGTTAAAACTTTTTTTGAAGCCTGATAAAAGAGATCCGAATAACCCACAAAAGATTATTAAAGGCCTCTATTTACCAAGTCACATAACCCCCTATATCCATTTTTTAGTATTTCATGAATGGAAGTTATATCAAAAACATAAACAGTGGGGATTAAAGGCCTTTTCTTGTAGCGCAGTTGAAAAAAAGAACCATTCACATGTATCTTATTTTTTTCGAAAATCTACTATGAATGATGGAAATCCTGTTAAGAGAAAAGCAGCTACAATTGAAATTTTGAAGCATGAGTCTTGGAATCTTTTTTTTGCTTATAACGACAATGATTTGTCTAAATTACAACCAAAAACCAAAAAACTTTGTATTAAATAAATTTGTATATATCGATTAATCTTTTCTTAGTTACTAATATTAAATTGAGTATTGGTATATGCATTTATGTACGTAGTGTAAATAGCCTTTACCATATTCAGTTGAATTTATGCATATGATCGTTAAAACAACCTTTTGCACAATACCTATAAAAGGACATTGCTTCATAAATACATAAGAGTATATGAATAAATGTTTGTGATTTCTCATTATTACCTTATACCTGAAATTCCTAATGCTTAATTCATTTAAAATTCGTTAAATTAAATAATTGATTCCTCTTTACATCTATTTGATTATTGAATAAAGAATATGCTGGGTTTCTTAGTTAACATAAAGAAAGCATTAAGGCTTTTCCTAAATAATTAAAAGCCATATCCTTGACAAGATATAGATTAAAAGATATTACAATTAACAGAATATGATAAAATACTGTTTGGATTAGATAATATTAACATAAAACGAATTTATTTGATCAATGTGTGGATCACTTTAAATTATTTAGTTATACATATGTTTAAGATTAAAGCCATTCTTATTTAAATTCACTTTCTGATCTGCCCTATTATCATCCCTTCCTATTAAACCATTATCAATTTTATTACAATCGAACTCTATCGTTCATACTTACCCTTTTCATTAACAATCAGATTATTATAACCAGTATCATGTTAACTATTGGAGCTCGTCCCGACTGGCCAATCATTCATTACGACTGTCATTCGAACAGGTCGCAATTCAAAAAATTTCTATTAAAAACTCACCCATCTTACCAACCCTTCTTAACTGCCGTCCCGGCAGGCCAGACTACTACAACTCCATAACGTTTTATGAGTGGGATGAGTGGGGTCAAATTAACCAGAACGAAAGTCGGGTTCGTAGAAAAGACAAAGTTACTAACTCTTACTTTCCCTAACTATACTAATATACTACTCTCAAATTGCCTCATAATTCCCTAATTACCTCATGCTTACTCAATTACCTTATTCTTACTCAATTACTTCATACTTACTCAATTACCTCATTATTGCTACACTAAAACACATGGATTATACAAATTACTACATACTTTCGATTGATCGAAAATCGATCGAACATGTGACCGTAATGGGCCTATCACATGTTCGACAAAAGCTGCCTCAATTACTATTACGTATCGAGCAGCTATTTAACGTATAAGCTTTAACCTATACATATGATAATCATTATAACTTCTTTTAGTTATTTTGGTTCAAATACTGTAACATTAACCTATTGATTCGAGTTTTGATATTTAAAACATAGAATTATGGCATAATGTAACTGCATTGACATATACAACGATATTGGCACATACGCAGATTAAATCATACCATAACTTTTTGCTGAAAGTTAAAACTAGTTACCACATGCTTGTTCTGATCTTCAGAGTTCTACCGCATCTCTAATTCTAATTTTTATTTTAAACTACAAATTAATAAATGTACCCAGTACAATTAATTATTAAGTAAATGATTCTATAATTGAGACTACATATTTCTGAACCTTATATTTTAAACAATTTATTATATTATAGGTTACGTCTTTGCGATATATAAAAAGATAAAACTATAAATCCTGCAGTACATATATAACCATCTATTTCTTTATTAACTTTTTTTTTCCATTCCACTAGAAGTTCACCACGAACAATTTTTGGCTTTCTTTTTTTTTGACTATTTAATTTATGTTGATTGAACATTAAAATTTCCAGAGGATTGACATCATCTTGATTTTTAATATTAGAACAAAACTTTTGATTTGATAACTGTTCAAAGACAACGTATGTTTGCTGATTCTGATCGTAGTACTTTTGACCCCATTTAGGATCTCCTAAAATTTTTGTTAAAGTTGAATAGGCTGACTCTCTATGAAATCTACACTTATACACACGTGGATCGTTAGAAAATTGATGAATGTATCCTGCAAAAATAGCAACAAATTGGCTTTCTGTACATGGAATTGACAATACTTTTCGTCCCATTCTGGTGAAGCTTAATGGTAATTGACGATGTATTTGTTGAATTAAAATATTTTTAAATTCTTGCAATAAGGTATTCGGAATAGTATCAAGATCATTTTGTGGTATATTGTACTTTTTAATTGTGTTATAGTGTCGTTTAAGTCCATTTTCAGACTTAAAATTTCGAAAACAAATTGGACAAACAACAGAAGAGGTTGAAGAAATGAATGCCATATTTTGTAAAGAGATAGATTGTGGGCTCAATTAAAAAGCAGCTTATGAATTTATTATTTATTAAATTTGTTAGTAATTGTCGGACAGTAATTAACTAACATAATTTCAACAATTACATAAAAGTCCCAACATCGCCAGATAAGTTAGTTTAATAATACTAATACCGATATATCGTATAATAAGAAAAGTCATATGGCTTTGCGGCCTCGATTATTAGCGACGCTAGAACTAACCAATTACAAGACAATACAATGTCAAACGATCTGACCCACCATTAAATTTTTAGGGCACTAAATTCTATATCGTACATTAACCCCATATGCATGTCCCAAATTAGCCCATATGCATATCTATTTTAATTGATCAGCATGAGGACCCGATCTGAAAGATTGCATGACAGGACTTAAAAGTATTACGTAGACCAAGACTGGAACTGGATTGACTTTACTATCCTTAAGATTTAACTCATCAAATCCGAACTGATTCTAATTAACGCTGGTAGCTGTTTTCATAAATTCTAAGGATACCTAAAAATTTGTTCGTTCCCCGAAACATCTTTGATCTCATTTTAAGAATTCCAAGGACAGCGGATTAGTTTCCGATAAGTTAGGTGATTCTTAAACACGAGATCGAAGAAGCTTCGGGAAACGACCAAATTTTTAGGTGTTCCAGGATTTATGAAAACAACTGTAATGCAATCTAACCGATACTCACGTAATGTAAGTAATATACGGGAAAACTAATAATATGCTAAATTGTCACGCTAAGTTATGTCTGTTAAATGACTAGCCTAAAAAAATTTAAAGTACATTATCATGATAAAACACTGCACGTTAAATGTCAAAATTTATCTGAATTGTCTAGACTAGCATTGCCGATCTAAAAAAAAGCTTTGTTACGGTGTTAGAGTGTATTTTTTTAAAAGGAGTAACCTATATTATATTTGATCCCAAAGGATGGATTCCCACAAAAAAAAAAAAAAGACTTTTTATACATTACACTGTTAAAAACATTAAGAAATGTTTCACAATTGCTACAATAATAAATTTATTTCAAAAATTCAAATGCTACCTTATACATATTATGTTAATGAAATATTGCTAATAGCAAGTTATATTATGACCTCTTCCAAAAGTTTCAAAATACAAATGTCATCATATACACATTATATTAATAAGATATTACTATGACAGGTTAAGTTATATCCTGGCTTCTTCCCAAAGTGTTTTACCAGAACAAGCACAGACCTTTTTCTTATTTTCAAATGCACCCGCACTACGCGCAATAATCCCTGCAATTAAACCTGGACCAGAATTCCCATCAAATTTGCTTTGCGCATTACCACCCTTACCTTCATCATCTTCTCCATGTGTAATTACCATTGACCTCCCAATAATATCCCAAACTTTAATTCGACGACTTTCCACGACAAGATCCCCCCATCCTTTCTCATCAACATGAATATTTCCCAAATCTCCTATGTGACCGCTTTCGATATCCCCGTGCCCAACATTATCCGGATTGTAATGTGCCCCCGTGCTCGACGGACCGGCTGAAATGTCACCCAACTCACGGATGTGAATCCCATGATGTCCTGGAGAAATTCCTTGCACTGTAACATCAATAAGACAATAATCTTTATTTATTTGGATAAATCGACAAAGTCCTTGAGGTTTTTTTGGCGTGATAGTTGCATTTTCACCACCGAGTGGTGTATAAGTATAGTCTTCAAATATGCAAACAGCTGCACCAGAATGTGTTCCTATAAACACAAAAAAGATCATGATTAATCCAAGCTTTATTATTAATATAAAAAAGATGATACTACCATTAATACCGCCTTGACCGCGAACAATCACAGTTTTCCCGGTTTCTTTCAAATGCTTTGACACCAATGAAGGAGGTGCTAATAATTAATTGTGATATTAATAATTAGTAATGCTACACAAAACGAAACAACGACTAACCTGTCCCTTCAACTATTACGCTCTGATCCTTAAGATCTATATCAAATCGACTAATCCCTATATTATTTTGGTAATTTGTCTTTATTTTTAAGTTCTGTTTATGATTTGCTTAAAAATAAAAAAAAACTAATTTACTTACCTGGAATTTTTGTCAAAACGTCCTTAATAGACTCAACACATGAATCGCATGTCATGTCTACAGCATACTCTGTCTGCAAGAACAAACGCGATTACTATTTTCTTTGAATAGGGTGAATTTTCGTTGTGGTTTCCATGCATCTTCGCCATACCTTAAAAGGAGTTTGTACAAATTGATTCGTTTTTGTGGCCATGTTGATTCGTTGCTACGTTGAATTGTCAATAATATATAATTTTCTGTTATAAATCGATCATAATCGGTTTTTTGAGAATATAAAACTGTTTTCTTTTGTATGTTCATTTAGTGTAACCCGACCTTGCAGATCCCTCCAGCCCATCTAATATTCTATTAAAATTTTTTTTTTTTTTCGGTATTAAGGTGATCTCTTTGGTCGTAGCTTTTTATTAATACTTATATCGGGTACATGTTTTATATAGACGTATCTATAATGAACTATCAGACGAGTGTACAACTGACTACACGTGTAACTTTTCTATATTACCTATTTAAGGAGTTCACTTGAAGGTTTCTTATCAGTTGTTGTACTTAATTCCTCTGCTTAGATGTTCTATTTAAATCCTCTGATCTAACTCTGGTATTAATTTTACTGAATCACAGATCCAGATCTATTCACTTTTAATCATAGGACTATAATTCTTAGATTATTTTTATTTTCAAGATAAACCTATCTAAACGAGTCATATTCTCTTTTATCATTAACCTGGTTTGACATTATAGTTAAGATCAATACTTGCAGTTAGAGTTATTTCTTAAATCACTATTATCTTTGTAAAGTTCATCCAAATCCTGTTATCCATCTTTTTGATTTCTTCTCCATCATCCTTTACTAATTATAACTTGGAATTAATCAACTCCTTAGACTTCCAATCCAAATAGCTTGATATGATATACTTATGTATCTTTTTTCTTTGATGATTTTGACAACCTGATTGGTCATGTGTTTTTCTATACATCTTGTTATCTGGTTTATCTAATAGTTTCTATAAAGGTGTTTTATGAGTTTCTATCAATCCAATGATATCATCAAAAATTAGTGTTACCTCTTTATTCGAGATTTCTAAGTGGGTTTACATCTTCTTAGTTTCTTAGCCTTCTATGCTTAGTAGTTTATTAAAATTTTTTTAAATTTCTATTTGATAAAATTGAATAAAGTTTTTTTATTTTAATTCTATACATCTGTAAAATTAAAATAAACAGAAAATTTATTAAAATTAGTTAATAAAAATATATATTTTAATATCTTGAAAAAAATTTTTAAAAATAAAGATTATTTTTATTTTTTTATATTAAACTAATTTTTTTAGAATTAGGAGTTTTTTTTTTAATATTAAAGATAAGTACTTATGGTTTAGGCTTTTATTGATAATATGTTTTAGCTTTGTAATTGTATTACAACAGTTACAAAAGACAATAATAAGAAGAGTATACAACTAGTTACTCATATAATTTTAGTTATTGTCTAATTTAAGTAGTCTGTTTAAAGATTCTATACTAGTTTTTATATCTAGAACCCATTTATGAGTCTTTTATTTAAATATTCTAGTTCTTATATCTATCTATCTATTTATTTTACTAATTGTTTCAATTTTTATTGATACAAATATATCATGATCATTAGTAAATTTTTTTTTTCTTAAGTAGTCATGCTAGTACTTTATTAAAATTTTAAATTACATTTACAATTATATAAATATCCTTAACAACTAAGTCTAGCATCACCTGACCACCCTAATGATACCTAGGTGCAACCTGCTGCATTATTTCAAGCAAAAATAAGCTGCTCATCTGACTACTTAAAGTCCATAATAAAAGGGCCTTTTCCTTTTTATAATAAGTTATAAAATTGTCTTCTGTACTTTATTTTTAATTTGTTTTTTTCATTTTCTTTTTTCTTTTTTCTATTATTTGTCAATTTGATTTTTCTTTTTTTCCTGATACTTTTTTTTTCTTTCTTTCTTCTTCTTTTGTCCTACCCAATATTTCTTCTTTTTTCTCTTATTCATTAATTTTTTCATAATGAATTCTCTATACTTGTTTATAGAATGTGTTCTAGGCCATTCTTGCTATTATGCTTAAAAACTTCTGTCTTGATTTTGTGCTTAGAAGTTGTTTCAATCTATCTTGTATTTCTTTTAAAATAAGACCTTTGATTAGTGTCTCTCTTAGATTAACTTCCTCTATTTCTGTTTTTTCAAAAAGTACTATATATAACACATATGATAAGATCTGAACTTTTTTTTCTTCTTTTAGCCCCTTCCAAGCTGTTGCAATTGTCACTTTTTGGATTTTTTTCTAAAAATTTCTTTATCCTTTACATGTTACCAAATATGATTGTGTTTTTTTTGTTTTGTCTTGGCATAATTAGTACTTTGTTATTGTATATATATCTGGTCTTCTCTTGTTCAGCTCTTCTAGTATTAGAAGCTTCTCTATTATACACTTTATAAATGCATTTCTTCTGGCACTACTTTTTCTTATTATGCAATGTACTCCTTTAGTTGTCTTTAGTCTTCTCAAAAGTATGTCCAATCATGAACCATAACTTTTGTTTCTGGTTCTAATTCTCTAATTATTTTTGTTTTCTTCTATTCTGCTTCTAAACTTGTATTTGTTATTAATTTGCATAGCAATCTTGCTGTATGTTAGTACATTTGTTTTTCCACCTTTAGCAGTACTTTATCTCTTTGCAACTGACTTTTTTGGCCTATATTGTTCTTTTACTTGTTGGATTTTTTTTTGCTAGACTATCTGTTTTGTTATTCTATCTATCTTTACTATAACTTTTAATTTTAAAAAACTCTATCTGTATATTTTTTGTTATAATAAGATCTTTAATTTTTATTATCCATATTGTATTTTTTTTCTTAAGAATCTTATTTTTGTCTACTTGTTCCAAATCTCTATTAATATTTCTTATTGCAGCATTGCTATCTGTATATATTTCTATTTGTTTTCCTTTTGGTATTATTAGAATTGCTACTTATATTATTACTAATTCTGCTATTGTTGATGTTTGCTATCCTTCTAGTTCTACTGCTAACTTCTCTTCTAGGCATTCTTGTGTTTCATCAATTTGCACCCATCCTATACCTATATTATTTTTACTTTTTGAATCTTTTTTAGTCTTTATGTTTGCTATCCCATCTGTGTATATTGTAAACTTGATTTTGTTTCTTATTATATTTCTTCTTAAAACTTCTATTATTTTTTGAGCAATGTTCTTTTTTAAGTTTTGTCATTTGATTATTTCTACTTCTAACTCTTTTATTATTCTTAGTCCTTTGAGCTTCTGCTCTCCTATTTCTGGTTTATTTATTTTTGTTATTTCTATAATTTGATCTATTGCTAATTTGATCTTGTTACTGCCTTTTTCTATTAAGACATCTGGGATTATATTTATTTTGTTATTTATCTTTATCTATTGCTAGCAACTATCTTCTGATTGTTCATTATTTTTTGTACAACTCTTATATCTATTAATTTTAACAGCTAGTTTATTCTCTTTACTTTACATTTGCCAATGTTCTATTAGTATTTTTTTCTTTTTCTTTTAACTATCTTTCCTAATTGTTAATGATTCTGTATATTATGCATTATTTATTTTTTCCTTCTTTTATTTTTGAAATATACTTCTATTTTATTCATATTGCTTAGATATTTTGTTTATTTGTTCTAAAACATTCTTTAACCTCTTTGCTTTCTGGCCTACTAAGCACTTCTAATTTAATTGCTTTAAATCATTCTGCTTTTTTTCCTTTATATAATAGGCCTTAGTAAACTTTTAGCTGTTATTATATAATTAGTCTTACTCCTTTTATGTTGAGCAGCTGATTTAGATATATTACATCTATTTTGTTTATTTTGGTCCTACTTCTTTTTTATAATTGTGTATTTATAAGTTCTTTTACTTTGATTCTATATCCTAGCATTGTTCATAAATTACCTTCTGTTTTTATATTTATACTAAGCCTTCTTGCTTTTAGCAATATTAAACAAGCTAGGTTATTTTTTCAACCTTCCACATTTTCTAGCAACTCTTCTATTTTCTATATATCTTTTGTAAGACCTGCCCTTTGGCAATCTTGTATTATTCTTAATTTTGTTAACTGTCCAAGACTATTTTGTCTATTTAGTCTTGTTAGTAAGCTACTTATTTGTTTTATTATTAATTCTTATTGTAATGTTCTGCAACTCCCAAGATCTTTGTATTCTATTATGCAATTTTCTAATGTTTTTTGCAGATTGCTTTTTTGTTTTGCCAAACTTATTATTAGTTGGTGTATTTCATTTATATTTCTTTCTGACATTTTTGTTAATTGTAACATATAACTTAATTTTAGTATTATTACTATATTGTTAATATATGCAATTTGGTTCATTGTTATTTTTTTGTATCTGAGATCTTTTATTGTCTGGCTGATTATTCTTTTAGCTTTTCTCTTTACTAACATTTCACTTATTCTGTTATTTAGTCAGATTCTCAATGAGCAGACTATCTTATTCTTTATTTCTTCTATTATTTTGCTTTTTCCAAAAATTACTTCTCTTTCTTCTTTCTTCACTTTTGTGTTCATTATCAATAGCTTTGATTTGGATCTATTTATTTCTATATTATTCATCTTAAAAAATTCTTCTGCTATCTTTAATATATCTAATAGTTATTCTTTACTGTTTGTGATTCATGTTGTATTATCTGCATATGTGATTGCTATTTGTCAGTATCTTGTAATATTGCTGTATTGCATATTTTTCTTAATTTGTTGCTCTACTATATAACCTAAATCTTCATTTTCTTATATTCTCTCTAGCAGTAAATCATAAAAAATTTACTATATCAATAGAGATATCACTTCACCTTGATCTATGCTATCTCTTATTATTATTTCTTCTGTTAGGCCATGGGTTGTAATAATTTTTAATTGTCTTTTGTTAAACAAATTCAAAATATATCTCATTGTTCTTTTAGATATTTTGACTCTTTGTAATACTAGTTCTAAGCTTTCTAGTAGAACTGAGTCAAATGCCTTTTTCATGTCTTGTAAGAGTATTCATATTTTTTTGCCCTTCTCCTTTGCTTCTTCTATTACTATGTTAAGAATATGTATTGACTGTTCTGTTGAGCCACTTAGAAGCCTTGTGTAATTGGGTTCTTTTAGTATTTTTCTTTCTATA